TGCGGTGGCGTTTCTGCTGCCCGAGCTGCATGCCAGCTTACGCATTTATTTTTTTTTTTCAGTCCTAGTTTTGGTCACGTTTTCTCTGTATGCAAGTACGTGTGGGTCAGTTTCGTGCGTGATCAGATGAGTATGAGAGTGGATTAAAGTATTCTGCTGACAGGGAGGTGGCGTAATCAAACAAAAAGACTTGCTCAGACTGAAAAATGCCTGCATAATTACTTCTGGCATATAATAGAAAAGTTTGGAAGGTCTTGCAATGGGCTGAAGTAATTAAAAACATACTTCTGTTGCCCTGTACATAATACCTAATTCTGAAAATTTGACTTGGGCTTCTGAAACGTATGAAAACTTCATGGGATTAGTATTGGAGGGCAGGGGGAATAAGGTAGCTGTCTCTTCTTTCTGTAAAGCACTTGTGGAGCACAAAGGAAGCTGTAACCCTTCATTCAGACCACTAAGCCCCTGTGGAGGAACATGGGGACCTCACTGGGCAGGCTGCAGGAGGCCTTTGAATGGCACTTCAGTGTTAAAATGCTTCTAATTTAGATTTTCATAGTATTCTTTGTGGGAGAAGCTGAGCTTAAATGGGAAAAAGTACATTATTTCTAAAATACAGAGATCTGGAGAAGCACCAAGATTCAAGCGTGCACTAAGTTACTAGAAACATAATGTGCCTGCTGAGTGTAGTGAATTTACAGGTATAACCAGGAGGCAAGAAGTAGGAAGAATAGGGGTTTTGGCAAAACCATACAGAAACTGGCTTTTGTTTTCTGTTTATCACATGTGTAATAACACATAAAGCGTTGGTGGTAAAGCTTCTGTCAGAATGTGTACTACTGATGCGCAAATGCTATGGATGAATTGACTTGAAAACAATCCAGTAGTAGAACAGTCTGTTTATGAAGTGCTTAAGTTTTATACTATTAGATTTTTATAGACGAATGGTGAAATTACTAATGTGATTAAATTCTAATAAATAATAAGTTTAAAATCAAGTAAGCACACAAGTTTAAAAGTTTTGTCTGATCTTGGGTTTTTTTGTTTTGGACTGTTTGCAAATGGTATGTGTACACCAAACACTGTAACAGAAGCACTGTTTTTTCCTCTGTATGTTTAGGAGGGTATTAAAGTGGAAAGAGACAAAAATCAGATTTATCATTTGCTTAATATGTCTTGGGAACAACTTTTACTAGCAAGATTAGATTGACTTTTCTTTGCTCTTCTTCATTACAGGGCCTGCGGTTTGAGGTGGTTCCATCCTGGTTTAAGGAGACGCTTGAAAAGTCATCTTTTGGAGCCCCTTATGAGTATGCTGTGGAAACAGCAAAACAGAAGGCTCTTGAAGTAGCAAACAGAATGCACGTAGTAAGTTATCAGCTATTTCGGCAATGAGATTTTTGTTTTTAAGTGGTGCGTGTCACCCTGGCTTAATTTGCTGCTTAGGTGGTCTCTGAGTGTGTTTTCCCCGCTGAAGGGAAACAGATGTTTTTCTGTCACTTGGAAAGATAGCTTCTTGAAATTAATCAAAAGAAGGGTCTCATGCCTGCAGTTTGGGCTTTCCACAAACAGAAATGGCTTGCATCTCTTGTCAACAGCACACCCACTCTTGCTTGGGATATATACTTGGTCATTCCTTCCAACAGTCAGGTGTGTGGCTGGGCAGTTGTTTGTTCCAAATACCTGGAACAAACCAATTGTGGAGGCAGATTCTATGGAAAAACACACTGATGTGAATCCAGTGCTTTGCTATAGCGTTCCTTGAACAGTAGTTGAACAGTTGTGATAAGACAATAGCTTCGAATATGTGAGTATAGAGGTGCTTGAGGAAAGCAGACAGAGAGGAAACATTCTATTTTAAAGCATTATTGACAAAGAAACAGTCAACTTCATTTTAAGAAGGGAGACGCTGATATAATTTCAGGTTCTGTAGTCAAGGCATCCATTTTGTGTCCTAAATATTACCAAAACCAATGGCAAAACTTATACTATCAGTGGCATATTTGACTTCTGCCCTTAGCTGCGATCACTGTGTTTCAGCACATAAGGCTATTCTCTACCAAACCCTATTTAGAAGTCTAGCTGATTAGATCCCCTCAAATGTGCCATAATAATTTATTAATAATATAGCTCTGTAAGAGTGGAGTATGTTTGCTGAACCTATACTGATGGCTGAAAAGCAATGTGGAACACTTTAAACCAACAATGGAGTATGTTTGCTGAACCTATACTGATGGCAGAAAAGCAATGTCGAACACTTTAAACCAACAGCGTTGCCAGATGTCACCATTTTTCAAAGCAAATATTGCGTTATCTCCAATGTAAATCGTTATACAGGTTTCCGTCAACTTCTTTTCAGAGAATCGTGCGACATTAGGAGAGTAGATTTTAAACCCAACCTCGCTAACTAACTTACATTACGCTGTCATTGCAAAACACTGTGCTGGTGATAATGCTAGTTCAATGGATTTCAAAATGCTTCTTCACACAGGAATTTTCTTAATGATAGCTTTAATTAGGTCTACTATTTAAAGCACATCAACAGCCTTTCTATAGAAGAATCACCTCCCTACAAAGTTTTTAATATAATGATCACAGTTACAGACAAGTTTCCTGTCTTGCTGTGTTAGATAATAACTACCTCAAAACATGCAAGCAAATCAAAACTCAGCTATAAGAACAGATTACAGTTTAAAGCCAAGAAAAGACTACAAAGAATCTTTATATCCCCCTACCTCTCAGTTCCCCAAAATAGGCTGTATGTTTTCCCTTTTGCAAGTGTAGCTAAAGTGGTTTTTTTCAGTAAAAATTGCCTGAGAAAAATAAGTCTAGAGAGCTTCAACACTGTACTCCTGGCTTCCATACACAGGGCACTTCCTTTAAACAAATTCAGTCTGCCGTCTTGAAGATCAGGTTCACCTTTGAGAATGCCATTAGTTCTCTACTGACTGCATTTGTTCATCAATAACATGCTTGGGTAAAATCGTGACCTGAGAATGCTCTGCTCAAGCCTCCTGTTTTCCTCACTTTCATGGTGATATAAATCATTACTATTTTGTAAACGGTGCGAAAAGAGAAAGTGTCTTGTTTTCAGGTCAGTGTAGAGCCCTACTCATGTTTTCTTACCTTAAGTTTTAAAAGATTTTGCTCTTTCTACCTCTTTTGAGAAATATCTTCTTTCTTTGTGCCTTTGCAGAAACACCTGAGAACACCTGATGTTGTCATAGGAGCAGACACTATTGTGGTAAGAAGTGTCATGTGGTTTAGCATTGTCTTCACTTATGACAAGTGTTTGTATCTTTAAAGTTAAAGTTTGAAAACTATCTTCACTGAGAAGTTATACCTGCAGTATGATGTATCTTTTGGGTTTTGTGCGGGTGGGTTTTTGGGGTTTTTCCCAACAAGGCAATTTTTGGTATCTTGAGTGCTAGAAGCCTTGCTGCTGTCTTTGCAGAGACACTAGTATCGCGTAAGTATTGCCTTGGATCCTCTAGTATGTAATGGAAATTCTGTTCTCAGGCAACTGTTGAGTGTCAAGAAGTGCAGATCATGTGAGCTGTTCAGTGTTGTGCCTTGTAGTGGGCACCTGTCATCTCCAGATGTGAACAGTTAAGGAGGAAAGAAGTTGAATTACCCCTTTTTTTTTTGAGCGCTGCAGTGCCTGGGGGGGGTGGGTAGACTGTTGCACTCGTTATGTGCTTGACGCTAAATTACCTATTCTACCAAAGTATCTGTGCATCTTGCTCTACTCAGTATACTCTCACGGGAAGCCCTGGCCCAAATCATGGTTTAAACGTCACTTCTGACCTCAGTTTCTGAAAAGTAAGAAAAAGCAGCATGCTGTCTCTATCTTTCTGTTCTAGACTGTGGATGAGCAGATCCTGGAGAAACCAGTTGATAAGCAAGATGCATATAGGATGCTGTCAAGGTCTGTACTTTAAGAATCCAAATGTGTATATTAAGCTGTTTTAAAAGGAGCTGTACGGGTTCCTTGATGTATATGAAGAACTCTGTGGACACAAATTTTTCAATCATTTTTAAACAGTGTAAGCCAGTTCTGCCACTGAGAAAGTTAGATGTGCTTTTATGTTACAGCTGCTTAATCTTGCCCTTTCACGTTAGGAAACTGGTCAGGGACATAATGAGCCATTTTGTTTTCACTTGGGATTAGTTTTGAAAGTCACTTACCACAAGACACTATGTTTGCTTCAGCTGGTACAGGAAGGGGAGATACAGAGAGAAATCATGATGGGAAGGCAGACAGAACTACCAGAAGTGGATTAAGGCTTGATGTTTAATGGAACAATATTGCATTTACAAGAAAGTACATGGTGATATGTGTTCATGGACAATTGCTTTAAATTCTATAGTTTGACTGGGGAAGAAGAAAATGTACTTCCATCAGTGTTCTCCATGGATGGTAGGCTGGTGGGTTTTGAGGCTTCTGCTTTTTTCCTAAAGGATCCTTATCCCTACAAGCTTAACATATCTTGTAGCACTTTTGGTTTCTGTAGGGTTCTTTTCTTTTAAAAAACAACTAAATAACTCTAGTCACCTTCTTTCTTAAGGATGAGCTGTGATGAATTCACTAATCATGCTTCTCTTATGAGGGCTGCTTGTTTCACCAGTTTACAGTCTAACTCTGGCATCCAAAGAGAATACAAGTGGCTTGGTAGTTTTTTGGAGTTTTGCTCTGTAAGTCTATTTTAGATTTAATTTTTTTCATTGATAACTTAGGTTGAATTTGTGATCCTTTGTGGCATGTTATTAACTTAAAAGTAGGAGTCTTTAAAAAAGTGGCAGCAGCGTATGTTATTAGTAGGAGAGTCCCAAAGGAGTGTATCTGGCAAAAGATTTCACAACTGGTTTTGCTTAAAATCCTGCCAAGTTTGGTTAGTTCAAAAATAGTACTTTTTTTTTTTTTTTACAGAGCTTAGTCTACTAACACATGCAAATGTTTTGGCTTTTTTTAAGTTCAGTAGGTCAGTGTCTTAATCATGGCTATGAAATGCACTTAAATTTAGTTTTTTAATGTCTCTTAATTTTGTTCTATATGAACAGGAAAAAATGCAGACAAGATATATATTTGCATGTATCCAAGATGTTAGATTAAAATTTTTACTTACTGTTTCATCTTAAAATTAATCATGTCAAATCTTGTGGGTGATAGAAAGAGTGCAGGATGCTTTTAATCACATCAAATAATAGCCTGGCTAATCGCTAGGATACTATTCCTTAACTAGTCTCTTCAAAGATTCAAGTTCTCGTGCTATTTATTACACTTCCATTGCTTACACATTAGATTAATAAATTTAAAGCCTTCAAAATTAATCGGCCACAGTGTGGCGCTCTGGAGCCACTGCAAGAGGGAGCACCTGTGTCTGGGGTAAGCGTGAATGTGCTGCCTTCCTCTGCACCGTTACCCTGCCTGCCCTGGGATCCCTGGGGGCCAGTCCGCACGAAGCGAGCACGTAAGCGCTAGTTGCCTGTCGCTTGTTTATCTAAGTTGTATCACCTGGCTATTCATTGCCAGCCTTCAGTGAAGGTGCCTTTTCCTTATGCATGTGAGGTAGTCACTTCTCCCTATGTACTGATAAGCTGATACCATAGACTGCTTTTCCAAATTGTGGACATCAGTACAAGTGTGATTTTGGAGACTTGAAATGACTGAATCTCTTGATAATTTTTTTTTTGTTGTTTTGCCAATGTCTTTTCACTTTTTTAATTTCAATATATTTATTTAGGATACATGTCAGAGCCATCAAGTGATATCTTAATATAATGGTCGGTTTCTCAGGCTGTAATAACAATTATATGTAGAACATTTTTGTGCATGAGTGATTTCATAAAACTGTTGCTTAATGCTCTTTTTTTTTCCCCTGACAGGTTGAGTGGGAAAGAGCACAGCGTGTTCACAGGAGTGGCTATTGTACATTGCAGCAGTAAAGGTACATCTGTCATTTTATTAAAACTCAATATTTTCATTAAAAATATTCTCATAAGGACTTGTACAAGTGAAGAAACAGGATGGAAATTTTTCATATCCAGTCTGAACTGGCTTTCTAATCAATGAGAATTATCTATATATCACTTTAAAACGTCCCACAAAAGCCAACTTTCTTACTGTATTCAGTTTTCACACAGGAAGGAGGATGACCAAATGCAACAGACTTTCGAATTACCGTCTCGGAAAGCTATGGGATTAATTAAGACCAGTGTAAATTGTGGGAATATTCTAAATGAAGTTCAAACAAGGCACTACAGACTGTGGGACTGAGCAGAGTCTGATCCATATTAACTTTATTCCTGTGTTCTGTGTACACTAGCTGATGAATACAAGCAGTTGCCATGTCTGTAGTTACTTCATTTTTCAGTAAATAAGGGAAGCTTTAAAGCCTATTGTTAGGGGATGAGTAAAGTAATAGCTTTAGGGAGCAATACATCAATTTTTTTCATCAGATAATTTATATAATAAGTGAGCATTTTTTATGAGAACTGTACCATTAATACGAGTGTTTTGTTTGAGGGACTTCCTGTGATAATTATGCCGATACCCTTTTAGTGGAACTTTTGCAAGAATCATTTCTCTGAAATTTCATTGGACATAGTCTTTATGTAGACAAATTATTTACAGCTTTTAGTCTTTATTGGAATGATTGCTCTTAACTCTTGTAACAGAAATAAAGTCAGTGATCCATGACTTTACTAACATGCTAGTACAGTAGAAAGAGCAGCTGCAAAAGAAACATGTTATCAAGGGGTTCTTGTGAGCAATACAGCAAGAGTAATAATACCTTTCATTGTTTACTGTAGGAAGACAGTAGAAGTGCACACAACTGCAGTACTGATGCTATGACAGCATGTATCATTTGAAGTTTTCAAATTTAAGCCACATCCTATTCATATGAATAAGAATACCATAAGTCTGCATATTCCCCAAGTGATGTGATCAATGGAACAGTTTTCTAGAACACACTTTTTAAGTTTTAGTTTATAATTAACAATGCTGTTAAGTACCACATATGTTACAGATGGAATTTTCATCTTGAGCTGATTGGATTTTTTTATCACTACTGAAAGATGTAGTAATCTGTTTTCATATGCAACAACTCTTTTATAATTCATCTGGGTCATTAAATGTTTTTTCAACACTAACACCATTAGCAATTGGATAGTATTTTTCCTTTGGTCTGTACTGTGGATCTTTCTTATGCCGCAAGAATTTCCATTGCTATCAGAACAGTGGTAACAGGAGATGCTGACCTTGATTTTTATAGGAAAGAGTAGAGAGAACTAATAATCCATACCATGCACGCTCATTTGTGCAAGGCTGTTTCCTTTTGAACATGTTTTGGAAAAGCCTCCATCTGCAGTGATAGCAGATTCACAGTGTACCACATGCAACAGGGTCCACACCCAGATGTGCAGTATTTTATTGCACCTCTGGCCTTCTCTCAACCACTTCTAGATACAGAAGTCTAAAAATGACACTGATGGTTACTGATGGGACTGCTGGATGCCCGAGTCTGCAGTACACATGCAGCTGCACATTCAAGCATTTGTAGCAGCTGTGTGTTTAACTATAATGTGTTGTTAAGAGTTATTTGACAACAGTCATAGAGTTAGAAGGGTATTTGTAGCCTCACTGCTGGATGTGTATGCTAGCAGTCCATCAATAGCTCTGCTATTTACGGGTGCATCCCATGCAGAGCGAGCAACCTGTTAACCACAAGACAGGACTGCAGAGGTTGAAAATGCAAGCTTTTACTTTTTTTTGGGGAAGTTGAGTCCACTGTCCCTAAAGAGCATTATTAATCATTTCATACATCTATGTGGTATCTTTAATTTTTCCCAAGCAAAAGCATCAAATGAATACAAACTGAAATAGAACTGAGATGTTATGCTCTCTAAACTACCATTTCTGTTTCTAATAAGACCTCTTCCTTTCTGTAGATAATCAGCTAGAGACAGAAGTCACTGATTTCTATGAAGAGACTAAAGTAAAATTTTCTGAACTGTCAGAAGAGCTCTTATGGGAGTACATTCATAGCGGGGAGCCAATGTGAGTAAGACCCTGAAACTAATCACACAGTACTTGAGAATAGGCTTATGGGTGTGTTATTAGCCACCAGCATAAAACACTTTATCCTGTGAAATTTTGCTGTGTGTATATGATAAGTGATAGTATGGGTGATGCAAGGTGGGTATTCTATTATTCTTGTCCAGAACTATCATTCCTCCAGGGAAAGTGTGCTACCTTTTTAGTACCCTAACAATTTTGAAAAGTGAGACTGTTGAGATACTCTGGATTGCACTCATGCAATATACAATTACCTCTCTGTTAACAGAGGCATTCAGGGAGCTTGGATACCTGAGACAATGGATAGTTCTCATTATAAAACAGGTAAATAGAGCCAGTATTGGATAATCAGGGTATTGAAGGACTTCATTGAAAGAAGCTAGAACTTGATTTATTTAGTTTATCAAAATAGCACTACTCTGAAGTGCCAGGAAATGCCAATTTAATTTTCACTTAGTCTTGTAGCCAGTTTATACATGTTCTTATGCCATAATTGTCTCTTAGCTTGTATGTTTCCTCTTCCCTTGCAACACAGACAACGTTGATTCCACAGAAGGAATAGGCTGAGAACAGAATACCTAACTACCCCTAAGATGAAGTTGACTGGATTGTTTAAAACAAAAAAAGTGCTTTTATTTGGAGTTTTACAACAAGGGAATGTTTGGCTTTATGGAATTTGCCTTTGCTTTGTGTTAGCTGAACCTTAGTGAAGGCAAATCAGGCCATAGCACTATGGACTGCATATCTGGTGATCTGAGGTGAACTTTTGGCTCTAACTCAATTCTGTGTAAGAATATCAAATGTGGTGAGGTTTTTTTTATACGCACTCGTGCTATAAAACGATACAGTCATGTCTTACTGGGGAAAGGGGAAGCAGTGTAGACTTTGGATTTATTTAAGTGTTTACATGTAAATGATGAGGCATACTTTCTGAACACGTAAGGTTCCCAGCATATGAAAGATACCGAAGCTAAACTGGATTATGGAGAGAAGAATCTTTTGCCAAGAATGCAGTTTGTAACACAAATTCCTAGTTAGGTTTTTGGAAGGTGATCTTTTGTGTGCAGCTTATCAGAAAGTTGCAGTTTGAAGGAGGACCGTGGATTTTTTGGAAGAATGTCAGGCTGAAAAATATTTTGGAATATTCTGATTATTTCCTCTGGAAGAGAATACACTTTAGGAGTGCTGTGTTGCAGCAAAATGGTTCGTGAGCAGCACTGGGTAATTCTTTTCATTCTGCTAAACAGGGTGTGTGACAGCGAGGGTTTCTCAAGGACCAAAGGTTCAGAGAATATTTTTCATTACTCTCTGGAACAGAAGCCAGTCAATCTTCATTCCTATAATCAAGAAGATAGGAAGCATTTGCTCTGGCTTTGTGAAGGAACTACTAAATATAGTGTCCTATAAATTTTGCAAAACAGTAAGGAGAAGTCTCTCATGGGGTTTTTTGTTTGGTTGTGGTTTTTATCCCCTCCTCCATGGGCACCCGTACTGGTTACACATTTACGTGCATAGAGATTTTTCTAAACACTATTGCAGTTCAACTGACCTTTTTTTTTATGGCAACTTAATTCTGTGAAATCGTACAAGACTTAATGATCACATGAAAAATTAAAAGAAAATTGACTCTTTTGGGCTATTGAGGATTGAATTGAGGTCGTCTTACAGCAAGCAGAAAATTGGCCTGTAGTATTTTAAAAGTCAGTCATTGGTGACATTGACTAATTCTAAAAGTATATAGCTGACTTCAAGTATGAATAAGGGAGGAGGGAAAAGCACTCTCTCAGGGTGGACTGCGATGACGTTAAAACCCTTGAAAAATTTGGCTGTGGAAAGATGGACTTTCCCTTTCTGTTTTATTCCTGTTCGTCTTTCCAAGCAAGGTGTTTTTGCCTGCTGGCAGGGTCTCTTTCTTCTTTTCTGGCCCTCTGTAGAAAGAGGGCTGGACCATAGTAATCCTAACTGTTTGGGCTTGTGTAATGAGTAGACTTAGTTTCTGCCAGCCTCTTTGACACAGCTTTTTATTTTGTAATCTTTCCCTTGTGAACAACTTCCTCTGTCTCTGCTTGCAACTTCCAGTCTGAAGATCCTATGTGGTTTTTCGTAGCTGTGTTCTGAATGGTGGCAATGAAACCAAAGCTCCCTACTGCACTCTGGGAAAGAGGTGATTACAGAGGCTGGAGTTCTAAAGTTCCAGACTTAACTATGAAGTAATAAAATGTAGAATGTAAATGTCTAGCTTTCTTCCCTTGTATGCTTTCTCTTAAGAGTTATTTCCTTCAAAGCTATAGCAAATGTATCTTTTTAGATTTTTGTGAATAATTACAGTCTCATAGCACAGATAGCTTGAGGGTATCAGCTCTTAGAGCGTAAGAGCAAAAATCTTCCAGGTGCAGGATTACAGAAGTAAAGGGAGCTGTACTTATACTAGAATCAACTTTGAATCTTGTTTTTAATCTATCATGTTGCTACAGTTGACTCCTCTATGTGAAATAGTTGTTCGATGTTCACCAGAACTTACTAGCAAATCTTCTTCTTGTACCTGCCTGTCTCTGCTTCTTCAGAAGTTCCTTTGCAAATGGAAATGCATCTCTGCCTGCTTCTGTGATGTGTGTATGCTGACTGGGCATCTTGCCTCTAAGAGAAAGGCAACCAAATTCTCTTTACCTCTGTCATGCCAGTAGTTTTTGTCTCTGTGCTCTACAAAGCCTCTAACTTCATATTTAAAGGAACTCAAGGTGGCACCTGTCTAATTTGTAGATACGTGAAGTGAAGATAACTAAGCTTGGATATCCAATCAACTAACTAATAATTGATAGACATGCAAGAAATTAGTGTTCAGCTTCTAATGTATTTTAAATATTTGCTTCAGCAAAGATGAATTTTGTCAGTGATGTACCTATGTCTTTTTGACTATTAGTGAAGTGCAGTCACTAGCTCAGATGGATTGTCTAATGTGCCTTAAATTTGTCTGTATTTCTACTAATGTGACCTGTGTGGGCCAAGACGCACATATAATTGCCATACATGTGTGCTTGCTGTTGGAAACACCTAAAACTCAAGCAAGCGTCTCTGTCTGTAGGAGCAGTAGTGCTTCATAGTGTGTTGGCTCTGTGTTGGACAATACAGATACTGTATACATGGATATACTATTTTGTGGCATGCTTAAAGTTCAAGTTCTACAGCTAATAAAGAAAATATGCTTTAATCTTGCATTTTCAAGAGTTACTTCTATTTTACCTCTTTCTTAACATTTTTTCCCCCCGTTGTATTGTGTGTGGATTTAAAAAAAAAAAAAATAGCGGATGTTGCACACATTCTTACTGTATTGTGTATGAGTTTGTTGGTTGTGGAGTTTTGTTGCTTTTGTTCTTACATCAGTGGATGTTGCACATTTTTTTTGCTGAAATCATATCCTCTACAACAGTCAGTTACTGAAAAATGTTTTAGTCACAGCAGTGGTCTTATTGTTTGTCAAAAAGTCTTTAAAGTGAGTTGTATTTTTGCAAATTAGCTGATGTTATGCATAGTGTTATAAATGAAGCCTTAAAGTTAGTGCTATGCTAATAAATATGATAATAGAAGTATCCAGTTACAAAAGTCAGTTAGATTAGCCAGAGCTAGTTGAGACCTGTGTAAATACCGATATATTCTGGGGTTTAGCATGGAAGACACTTAGCGGAAAAGTCAATGGAACTGTTACTAACTACGTAGCCTCATGCTTTTGGACTAGAAGGTATACTTGTAGTAGAAAATCTTCCTCAGGATGCAATGCCAGAATGTAAACTTAAAGATAAAAAAAACCAAGATGTGGCCAATTGAGTTAATGTCCTTACTGAGAGTATGATAGTACTGCTTTTGATGGTCACAATGTTTTTTGCCTCCCTGTCAGCATATACCAGAATGAATTCATCTTACTGGACTGCTACTTCATGTAAAATTTAAGACTTTTTAGTCATTAGAATGTTCCTAATTTCGATGGTGTAAATCTTAAGTATGTTATAAAAGAAGGAATAATTTAAACAATGACAAAGCTATACAGAGGTGCTTAAAATATAAGATTAAAGGAAAAGCTCTATTCCCTAGTTTATAGCCATTCAAAAGTCCCATTTGCTGGGATACTGATTCCTCTGTTTGTCTGAGGAGACTGTCGGAAAAGGAATCCGGAAATAAGTTCTGAAAACATAAGAGCTGGTTCTGATCAAATCTAAGATGAAAAATCTACAATCTTCTTTGTGTAGTAACCTTCTATCACAAGTACTTTGCGTAACTCCGTATTATCTGAAGTTAATGGATCTGAGACTGACTGACCTTTGGTTTCAAAGCTTGCTGACTTAAGCTTTCAGATTCTGGTGTTATCATGTAAGCATACTTCTGACTGCCTTGCGCCTTGAATGTGAACAGTAAAATTGTTGGGTCTATTGCAGCTTATCTGCCCATATGCTTTGCTGTCCACACAGTGGAATTTGCATAATTACACCCAAAGACAAATTAGATTTCCAAGGTTACTTTCTGTGAAAATACATTCCTGTGCCAAACTGTTAGTGTTACCATGATATCTAAGAGCACAGTCTTGTGAACCACAACTCTACTCCTGTCTCAGAGGGTTACACAAGACTTGGATAGGGCTGAATGGGATAGTAGTGGATTTTGTATTTGAATAGGTTGCTCCTCCCCAGGAAAGTCCTATCTTCCTGATCCTCATTTTATATATTCCTATGACTGAGATCCACAAGAAGCATACTACAGTCGCTTGAGTTCTAAGATGTCTTCTTTTGGAGCTACTGTATTCCTAAAGGCTCTTCAGCCTCTTCTGGAATAGAAGGAGGGTCAGTATGCAGCCACTGGGTGACCCAGTGGCAATGCTGGTCTTTTTGGTAGCCAGGACTTGGAGAATGCTGGGCAACCTATGGCAACACAATCTGACTACAGTCAGCTGATGCACCTCCTGCTTAGGTGACTATGGCACTTAGGCTGTCTGAAGCATGAAGACTGTAGCCTGCTCATCTTTAGTAGAAATACTGATCCTTATATTCATCTTCTGATTTTAAATTGAAGTGTTGAGCCTAACTAATAGATTTAATCTGCCTCTAACTTGAGTACACTAATCTTTATTCCAGACTCTGCAGTACTGGTGGATTATTTGTGTTCTGTGCTGCCTTTACTCTTAACCGTAATTAGATATATGTTGGTTTTGCTTTCTCTCCCCCAGGGACAAGGCTGGTGGATATGGAATCCAGGCCCTTGGTGGAATGTTAGTTGAATATGTCCATGGAGACTTCTTGAACGTTGTGGGATTTCCTCTGAATCACTTTTGCAAAAAGCTAGCAGAATTGTACTATCCACCCCCTAAACATAATGTACAACACAAAAAGCATGACTCTATCCCTTCTGTGGACACTTTTGAGAACCTAAGTGATGGAGAAAGTGAATCTTCAAATTTCACAGAGCACAAAGGTGCTAGCAAGTTGGACAGCAGTGGGATGTGTTCCTCAGGAACTATTTACAATTCTGAAACCAATTCTAGTGTCAGAGCTGGTTTTATGGTACCTTTGGAAAATCAGAATGGAGTGTCAGAAAGTGCAGCAAAACTTCCATCTAAAATTCTAGAGCTGATGGATGGTTTTAGAGCTTCAAAGGTAAGGGAAAAAATAAAACTACTCATTACATTGCTGAGTGATATGATTGTTTCATTGGACTTCAGTATATAGCAGGTAATGTGAAATACCTGATGGGGTAAGAATGTATTAATAATCAGTAAAAAAGGACCTCTGATAGTACCAGAGAATCTAAGATGGTTGAAACTTCTGGTGCAGTGCAAACATTTTTTTGGTATTTGCTTTTAATTGTTCTATGAAATTTCAGTTACCTATTTGATAAAATTTTTTGTCTCTTCAGAATAAAAAAAGGTTGATGCCTTTTTTAACTGATCAAAAGAGCACAATCCAGCAGGAACAGCAGGAAGTTACCTTTATGTACTCTGCAAAGAAAGCATTTAATATGGCGAACTTATCTGACTTAACTGTGACAAGAATTGTATATATTATTTCCTTTCTGACTTCTAATGCTTAGCATTAGAATTCTGTGGAAGATCTTAACTTTTTTATTCCCTATTAAGGATATAATTTTTTTATACCCTGTTTCACGTTCGAGGTATGTTTAGCTGATAACCTCCATGCAGTGGAGTCTGGAGACAGACACATAACAGCTTACAAACAGAAGGTCACATACTCTGTGTAGCAGCCAAGCGTGATGAGAAATGAGTAGGTGGACATCTTAAGTGCTGCCAAGTTTTCTACTCACAGCTCTAGGGTAGGAAGACAATAATGAAGGAGAAATGAACACCAATCATTCTAATAAATCACTGATCTTCAAGTCGTTCATGTTTTAGGAAGAGGTGGAAAAGCTGCTAAAGTGACAAACCTGAAATTAAAGATGTAACAACTTTGAGGGGTGATGGAGGGAAACATGCCAGACAGTGGACAATGGTTTTGCTGAAACAGCAGAAAGTTGTACTTGGATCTGAAGGAGACCTGTAGTGTGGTCACTGTAGATCTGTGGGTGTGCTGCTTGCAAGTATGCAATGCAGTATTGAGAGATTTGGGATAAAGCAGCCTTGAGACTGCTGCATTCATGAACTTTCTTGTGTATCCAAAGGGAGCAAGTTTTCATGTACTTGAGTGAGATGATGCTTAGCACTTCTTCAATTTAAGTAAAAAAAAAAAAAAAAAAATTATGGAGAATCATCAGCATTTTGTTGCACATTATGTATACTGTTTACAGTGATGTGATGCTGAATTTGGTTTTGTGCAAAAACAGTGGAGGCTGGAAGTAGAAGTAGAATCTTTTCCACTAATTTAGTGGGAAGTCATAGTATAAAGGGCTGAGTGTCATGTCAAACTAGTGGAAAACTTTTTTCCTCAGGGCTTGGATCTTTGTAAAATTAATTACCAGTTGCAACGAGTGTTTCCTGTGGTCTGACAAAACTCATCATCTCTCCATTTGTAAAATAGGGATAAGAGTACAAAAGCATTTAGTTTCACAAAAGCTTTCAAGTTCTATTTCATTTTGATCCTTGACTGTTGTTTCAAGGACTTCATAAAGCAGAATGAAATCTCCTGCAGGTGAAGATGTTGCTGCCTATTTTACTTTGAACAGCTGCTGCTGCAGAACAGGAGAGGATCAGGATTAAATTGTACTTTCTCAAACTCAATATGTTCTGAATTTGCATGATCTGATCCGTAGTCAGACCTTTGGGGGTTTTTGTTCTTTTGGTATTTCCCCCCCTCCTTCAAAATTCTGTTACTCAGCTAAGATAGTGAAACCCTCTGAGAGGGGAGGAAAGTTATCATAGTAATTTCTAGGAGTTTTCTTAAACTGTATTGCACTTTTTAAAGAACAGGAGCTGTGTAGAATAATTGTAGGCAAAAGGTATTGTTCTTTTGTTTCTTGATTGCAGTCTTTCAAACACAGCATACTAACAGTTTTTTTCCTGCATGTAGGCTCTGTTTGTAGCATCTAAGATGAAGATATTCGATCATCTGAAAGATAAAGGTCCGCTGAAAGCTGTGGATATTGCAAATGAGGTTGGAACCTCTGTGTGTGGAACAGAAAGACTCCTTGATGCATGTGCTGCTCTTGGATTACTGGAGAAAACACCACAAGGTGACTAATTTCCCTGCCCCCAACTGCACATAATACTGAAAGACATGCAGGACTGGAAGAGACACTTTGAAGGTCACAGGGACTGACTTGATATTGTGGGTAACTTGGATTTTGGGGAAAAGGGAATGGATTGTTTCTTCTATGCTTTCATTATTAGTAGCTGGAATTGTTTCATTTGGGAGCACATAATCAGGTCTCCTTTGAGGAATCCTTAGATTGTTTTTGGTCTCTGGACATAGTAATGACCAAATTTCTAAGAAAAAGTTGAGTGGCCAGTCCCAAGGAGCAGCATAATAGCTCAGGTGTATCTTCTGCACTTGGATTGCAACAACCCCATGCAGGCTTGGGGAAGAGTGGCTGGAAAGCTGCCCAGCAGGAAAGGACCTGGAGGTGTTCGTCAATAGCCAGCTGAATACAAACCAGCAGTGTGCCCAGGTGGCCAAGGCAGTCAGCAGCATCCTGGCTTGTATCAGAAATAAGGCAGTAACGAGCATCTGGGCTTGTAGCAGAAATGGTGTGGCCAGCATGAATAGGGAAGGGATCGTCCCCCTGTACTCTGTGCTGCTGAGGCCACATCTCAAGTGCTGTGTTCGGTTTTGGGCCCCTCCCTACAAGAAAGACATTGAGGTGCTGGAGTGTGTCCAGAGAAGGGCAACGAAGCTGGTGAAGGGTCTGGAGCACAAGTCTGGGGAGGAGCAGCTGAGGGAACTGGGGTTGTTTAGCCTGGGGAAAAGGAGGCTGAGGGGAGACCTTATTGGTCTCTACAGCTACCTGACAGGAGGTTGTAGCCAGGTGGGTGTTGCTTTCTTCTCCCAAGTAACAAGTGATGGGACAAGAGGAAATGGCCTCAAGTTGCACCAGGGGAGGTTTAGACTGGCTATTAGGAAAAATTTCTTCACTGAAAGGGTTGTCAAGAATTGAAACAGGCTCCCCAGGGAAAGTGGTGGAGTCACCATCCCTGGAGGTATTTAAAAGACACGTAGATGTGGTGCTTAGGGACACAGTTTAGTGGTTGGACTTGGCAGTGTTAGGTTAATGGTTGGACTCGATTGTCTTAAAGGTCTTTTCCAACCTAAATGACTCTGTGATTCTATCTAAAATAAGGGCCAAATTCCATTCCCTGCTGCAGCAATGCAGAGTCACAATCTTCAGCAGAGATTCACGGTTTTAACAAGGAGGGCTCGGGAATGTGTCTCTTCATGGACAACAGCTTAAATTTCAGTGCCCCTGACTTGGAATAGTGCTTGAAGGTGTATCTAGATTAGGCAGTCATTATTAGGATTAACTTTTTCAGTCTGCATTATGTATTTATAAGTTTTCATATGCATCATGTACATAGTAAGACAAAATGGGCAAGTGCCAAGAAAAGGAAATAAAGGACGCTTTCAACTCTGTTAGAGGACAAGACCAAGTAGAAAGTCCTGAATGCAAAACATACTGGAGAAAGCTTGAATTTAAGGGAAGGAGAAGCCATCACCTAAAGAAAATTGCAGTCAAGAATTAAGAACTTCTAATAATCCCCCTTGGATATCAGGTGTCTAACTGAGGTACTCTGTTTTTAAAAAAAAAAAAAAAAAAAATCAGTGCCTATCTATATCCTCTGGCATTTAAATTCTTTTTGTAAACAAAGTACCTGCTCCTTTAAGAAGAGAAGACCTTTAGAACTATTTAATAGAAGTCTTTGCACAAAAATTAATGTGATTCTAAGATCAGGATTTGCTAGCTATTTAACAGCTACGTAGGAAAACATGCTTTTAGATTTCAAAGGACAGTTGTAAAGTACTGAAACAAAGCTGCTTACAATTGTTTTCTTACCATAAGGTTACAGTAATACAGATTCAGCAAATACATACCTGACTTTAGATGGTGAATACTCACTTCATGGCTACATTATCCACTCTAATGACCACCTTTGGCCTCTCTTCACAAACTTGGAGTCTGCTGTCAAAGAAGGCAGCAGGCAGAACCATCGAGCCTTTGGAAAGAAAGCAGAGGATTTATTTAAGGTAAGTCAACTCTTATTAGTATCAAAACCAGCTATGAAGAGCTCAGAACTGATGTAGGGGCAAATGGAGACTGAGCTGTCTAATAAAGTTGGTCAGTCTCAGAAATGGTAGAAGTACAACGTTACTCACTAGTCTCAGACTTCTGTTCTCTTCAACTTCAGGCTCTAAACTGCTGGAGCAATCACAGAATATACTGGGAAATTCTGATGAAATACTGGGAAATGCTGACAAAAATTCTCTGGCTAAAGCATTGCCCATCCAGCTGACACACTCTCAGAACAACCTCTGGGCCTGTTTAATTTACACTTATGTGGCCTTTTTATAACACCAGGTAGTACCTTATCACACATGCACTCCTTCCATATCAGATGCCAATCACTTGGTACTGATGTGCGTCCAGTTCAGTCTGTGTTGACTGTGTAGTCAAAGTTGTTTTCAAAGTCGCTTTGTGTTGATGGAGGGATCCTATCTCTTTTATGAAGATTTGTAGTTCTGTGAATGCTTCAAGCTGGAATATATTGCTGATAAGAATTGTTATCCTTTCTTCCATCTATTTCCATCTCTGTAGCATTCCTTTTCCAGTGCCAGCCCAGGTGGATGTGTTCAGACTGGAGAATCGCTTAAGGTTATAACTAGCCTAACTTGTCAATTACCTGCCTGGTGAAGTGGGTTGGGGGGCATAAATAGTTGTGCCTGTTTAAGGAGTGGGCTAGTAGCGTGAGCAGGAGAATATGTTAGGACTTCAACTCTGACAGCAGCGCTGGCTTAAAATGTACTTCAGACTACGTCCTGAGGTTCTTAATTTGTGCTTAACTTCTACATGCTGATGAAGCCAGTTTGCTAAATGAGATGTCTGCATCCCATATATACAATTGATGGAATAAGGGCTTTTGGAGACTGAAGAAGGTCCTGTTAGCCTGATGTTAGTACCTAGATTACTGGTGGACAGACCCTCCTTTAGGAATCCTTCAAAGGCTCTTTTAAAGAGAGTTTAGATACTTGGCTTTAGGAGAGCTGCTGCAGTAGATGTTTAAATTTATATGCAAATTGTGTTTTAACATAGGCGAACTAGATCTCATCTTTTTTTATACATCTGGATTACCAACTTGAGTCTGCTTGGGTGATGCTTGTGGCAGGGGGCACCACCCCCTCGGTGATGTTTGGGGCGGGAGCCACTACCAGTTCAGGCCTGGACTCCAGATGTGTACAGGCTGGTATGTCCGAGCAGCATATGTGGGCTACCTATTGCACTATGCATACTACAGCCTGGAGATACTTCCACTTCATTGTAGCTGTAAAGCCAGACATGACTGATGAAATCTGTATAAAAGTGAGGCATAAAGGGGTTCATGCTTTTGTATCACTTCAAATGTGAAGGGTTGAGGTTTTCCTACTAAATGCTTGTTTCTCCCCTAATAAAAAAAAAAAAAAACCAAACAAAACAGTATGAGTTTTAATGTTTCTGGTTTAAGTTATGGTCCAATCATCCGGTTTTTTTTTCATCATGAGAGAATAAATGTCAGACTTAAATGAAAGCAATTTGTGAGTCTATCAAGGAGGAACGTTTCAGGAGACTGAAAAAAAAAAAATGGAATCTGTCCTTTCAAAGATTTTAAAGTCTGGAGACATCTTGCTGTAGAGCAAATCTGTTAGTAAATGTATATCAAAGGCACAGTATTTCTTTAAAAAGCACTTCTCAGATTATACCTTCTCCCTGCTATGCTACTCCAGCTTCAGTGGGCAGAAGTGTTTAATAGCCCTTGGGACATCAGCAAGCCCAGGTTCAAACCAGCCAAGTGCATGCCCTTTGAGATGCACTGCAAAAGATGTCTGTGTGATCAGAATTTTGGAGAGGATGCGAAAGTCTGCTTATCGCTACAGTGAAACAACAAAGGACTTGGACGAGCAACTAGTCAATAGCAGTCTTAACTGATGTTTTAATTTTAGAATTCTAATGTTAATGATGTGCACCTGCTGCCTTCGTTGTACATAGTTTTAGTGAAGTAATGAAAATAAACTTCAATTACTGTGCTTTTTTTTCTTTTTTAGGACTATTATTGCAGCCAGGAGGTGAAGCAACGTTTTATGGCTGCCATGCACAGCATTGCCCACCTGACAGCAAGAGACGTGGCTACAGCATTTGATCTTTCACAGTTTAAATCTGCTTGTGATTTAGGAGGTATTGCCTGTAATTGAACTTGTATATGAATTAAAGGGAAAAGCTTGATTTCAGTTTCATATTTTATTACTTAAAACATATGTATATTTTTCACTAGAATTACAGTAATATTTACTGTTATTTTTCTGGTAGTGTAATGTCAGAATAAAAGGACTGAGTGCAGTTAACTGAAAGCAGGATTACTTAAATGGTATTTGAGTAGTTCAAAATAAGTGAATGTTTGTCACAATCATTTACATACTGACACAGCTCAAAACAGAAAACAAGATGGTTTGTGGCTCAGCTGATAGAATGTTGGGCTGGGAGCTCCATTTTTCAACTGTGCTGTTGCTGTCCTTTGGCATGTCCAAGATTTTAAAAAGTAATGAAGGATTTATTTCTGAATCCTTCTGTATTGGGATGTCAAACCTGAAACACTGCACTGCTAGAACAAAAAGGTTTGATTCGCTTAGAATGGGTTTGTTTTGTGCGTTGCTTTAATTATTAATATCTAAGATGACCCCCAAAATGTTGAAGACCAATGATATACCTGAAGAAACTCTTCTTCTTAGTGTCCTTTTTTGCCCTGTGCTTGGACTTGCACAGAGGGTGTGTTATTACGTAGGGACAGATCTTTTGAAGGAAGAACACTTAGTGCCTGGAGAGATGGACAGCATGTCAGAGGAAGTAACACTGCAGTGGTGCAACTTCTGCCACTTGTTCAGAGACTCCAAGACCAAAATCCCTGTCCTTCCCCATGCTGGAGAGTGTTTGTCAGACTTCAGATGTCAGTCCTTTGTAAATGGTAAATAGTTCTAGTGCTCTTCATCCACAAATTGCAAGTCCTTGCCCTTTAATGAAAGTTCTTTTACCTCCCCAAAAACCCTGAGGTACTGGTATCAAAGGTCATATTAGCAATTCTGTGACAGTAAGGGGTCATGCCTGCATTGCTCTAAGCACGAGGAAGTGCTGTTACCCATGTAATTATGGAGCTGTCTACCTCTAATTCTGATTCGATACCTCTATTTTAATGTTTTATACAGCCTTGTCTTTAAAAATGTCTGCAGTTGCTGGGGAAAAAAAGACTTGATTTGACTTTTTTAAACTTTCAACAGGCTGCACTGGAGCTCTGGCTCATGAACTAGTACAAATATACCCAAATCTCAAGGTCACAGTATTTGACCTTCCAGAAGTCATTGCGAACACCTCTTACTTTCAGCCTTCTGGACAACACACAGCTCCTGTGACATTTGTAGCGGGTAAATGTAACACATGATCTTTTGTCTTATTTCTGTTATCCTGGAGCACAGAACAGGGTCTTTTGCTGCAGAAAATGGTGTGCTACCCTGCTTCAACCCTTAACGTGTGTCTTAGTACACGGCAATGTAGGCTCACCTATGTTGAATGGGGACATTGTACTTCTCAAGCCTGTGGGGATAAAACCAAACTGGCTATGGTTAGAGAATGTGGATAAATAAGGAAGTATGAATTAGTCATTTTTGAGTATCGCTGGGAGCAGAGGCTCCATGTCCTTGTCTCAGGCTTTTCTAGGCAAGATCAACATGGTGGCTATGAAGGACAATGTCTCCTTTCTCCTTCCTCCCCTGCTCTGGCTCCATTTTTATATGTTACAGAATTCTTACCTGTGATCTGCTCTTCTCTTTAACTACAGTTTCCTCATCTGCAAATCAGGGCATCCCTATAACCTGTTCATTCTTGTTTCTTTCTTTACCTCTGCTGAAGCTCCTAGTTCCTCTGCAATATTTTAATTTCATTTTGTAGGAATGTACTCTGTGGTTTCTGTAGGAGTGTACTAACTTTGCTTCTCAACAGGTGACTTCTTCAAGGATAATCTTCCAGAAGCAGATCTTTACATTCTTTCACGTGTTCTTCATGACTGGCCTGATGAGAAGATAAATGTGCTGTTAAGCAAGATATCATCTGTTTGCAAACCAGGTAAGTTTTTTCATCTTGTGGGCTTAAAGGTGCATATTAATGTATAAACTTAATGAGTAACCATAAGAAGTTCATATTAAAAAAGCATATTTTTCTGTACAATCATAGCAGCCTTTGCTTGAATGTCTATACCTGCATTATGGTAATACCCACAAAGAAACAAAGGCAACAAAGCTGCTAAGAAAACTATAAGATAAGCCCTTACTATAGTTGCAGATTTCAGACACAACTACATCATCTCCCCTATCCCTGTCATGCCCAGTCTTTCTTACTAAGCCCAGTATCATCAAATAACTAAGCATGTGCTTATTTCTGTACATACAAGTAGTCTAACAGAAGTTCCTTTAGGTTAATCAAGAAGCAGCAGTTTGTTTTGCTATCATTTTGCTATCTCAATAGTGCCCAGAATATGGTAAAATGGCGTTCAGCACTACTTTATGCACAGATTTCATGAGAAATATGTAGCCTCTTCTGCTTTCTTCTACATTTCAATCATAGATTATCTCAAATTGGAAGGGACCCATAAAGATCATTGAGTCCAACTCCCTGCTCCTTGCAGGCCTACCTAAAACTAAACCATATGACTAAGAGCATTGTCCAGATGCTGCTTGAACTCTGGCAGGTGCCATGACCACTTCCCTGGGGAGACTGTTCCAGGGACTGACCACCCTCTCAGTGAAAAACCTTTTCCTCATGTCCAACCTCAACTTCCCCTGACACTGCTTCATTCCATTTCCTTGTGTCCTATTGCTGGTCACCAGAGAGAGGAGATCAGCACCTCCCCCTCCGCTGCCCACCTTGAGGGAAGTTGAATGTGATGAGGTCACCTCATCTCTAAGCTGAACAATCCAAGTGACCTCATAAGGCTTGCCCTTGAAGCCTTTCTCCATCTTGGTTGCTCTCCTCTGGACACACTCTTAATAGTTTGAAGTCCTTACCTTGAGGCACCCACAAGTGCACACAGTACTCAAGGTGGGGCCGCACCAGTGTAGGGTGGGACAGTCGCCTCGCTTGACCAGCTGGCTGTGCTGTGCTTGATGTGCCCCAGGACATGGTTGGCCCTTTTGGCTGCCAGGGTACTCTGACTTGTATTTGGACACTATTAAAGATCAAAGACAAAAAGTAGAAAAGCCTGACTACTAAGATCAACTGATTCCTTAATCCAGCTGGATTGACTGTAGCTATGAAGTTTTGTTTCATAGGAGAGCATTCAAAATTAGATCTAGGCCATAAACCATAATCTTTATAAATTACAAAAGAAAATTGTGGGTGACTATCTTAATCTTCTTATGCGAAGACTGGGATATGACAGATGCTTACAAGAGTTGCTTAGTTCAAATGGAAACAAGACTGAATTTGAACTCAGCATAGTCAGGAAGTGATCTTAACTTCATTAGGTGGAGACAGTGCTCAAAACTCCCTCTTCCTTTTAAAAGTTAATGGTTGTTTCCAGGAAGTGATTACTGAAAGAAAAGTTCTGTCACTGATTTCCAGTGAAGACCATTAAAATACAAGTCTGAGGGATGTCTATAACTGTCTCTGAACAAAATACTAAAAACTCAAAACTAAAAATACTTTACTAAACCACTTTTGGTTGTTTTGGACGTGCAGGAAGTGCGTTGCTAGTGGCAGAAATTGTGCTTGACGAACAGAAGACACACCCTCCTAGAGCTGTACTGCAGTCCCTCAGTATGACTGAAGGCAAGCAGAGAAGTGGCTCAGAATATAAACAGCTACTGGAGAAATACGGCTTCACAAACGTACAAATTAAGATTACAGGAAACTTACTGGATGCTGTTTTGTGCTTCAAGAAGAATTTGTCACTGTAGAGTGCCCAGAAACAAACTGGGATGTGCAGTTTTTACAACACTTGTGCAATATACCCATCATCGGCCACCACATATTGTCACTTTAGGATCATTTTGGCTCTGTCTGAAGCATAGTTGTTACAGTCCTTGAATAAAAGTTGGACTGCAGCTTCTGCAGGAGTGAGTTCTGTGCATTTAAAAAGTGTCCAGGACAGGCCCAAACCTCTATGTATTAAATACCTTCATGACCATCCAATTCTTTTGGCTAGTTTGCAGACCATATTAAGTTTAGACTTGACATAGCTGTATAGCATGGAAAGTTAAAACTACAAGCTTTTATGAGCCACATTAATACCTTTGTTTTCTTGGACCTTAAAATTAAAGAGAATTCTCCCTCTACAGTGTATTCAGTGGTTACTGCTTATTTTTATCAAAAATGAAAAAATAAAAATGAATACTGTACCATCTGCATGAATTTGGAGATGCTTGTCCTCTCTTTCACTTTTCTGTGGGGCTTTACTCAAAAACATCTCAAGGATACCCTTTTTTTTTTTTTTAAGCGCTTTTTCCACAGGCAAAAATGGAAATAGGACAAAGCTCAAACATGTTTCTACAGGAGCTATAATGTCACAGAGAAGCTTCAGCAGCCTTTGACCTTCAGCCACAGTATGCACCCAGACAGGCTGCAGTTAGGAACAGCTCTCATCAGTTCTGGGTTTTTGTTGAATATGGTTAAATGGCCATATATGCTTTCTATCTCATTACTTGAGATGAGTTTTAGGATTTATGTATAAATTCTCTTATGAAAGTTAAAAGCAGAAAATTCCTCACATTCCAGTCTTTAATTGTAGAAGTACATACTGTATCCCATCTCTTCAAGTAATTTGTCACTAATGTCACCTCTCCTAATGTTTGTTTTTTCCTGATACTTCATTCCTATTTATTTTTTTCTATTTAAAGTGTACTTTGTAGTCAAAGCCTTCCTGGAGATTAAAGTTGCACTTTCAAACTTGCTTTCTTCTTTATCAGTTGTGAGTTTCTTGCCTGTCACCCTTCTACACTAATAATCCCAATAAGCCAGCGTGAAAGAGGCTGTGCCTTTGCTGAATCACCAACCTCAGCAAGGTCAAGAGTTGCATCTGCCTGGTAGACTGTGTCTTTATGTTACTTAATCAGAAGTTACTTTGCTCTTTGAACACCCAGTGAAGAAAAAGTGCCACAGTGATTGAATTCATCATGAGAAACATGCTTACTACAGAGCATTTCAGCTGTGCAAAATCAGGGAAATGCCAGACTTTTACCAGATTGGGGTTTTTGTGAATGGAAATTTGACTGATCTTATCTGTACAGATGTTAAGGCAAAATATTGAACTACTGAATAAATTCAAAATAAGTTTCTTTTCCATATTGACATGATGCTTGCCATTATGTTTAACAGGTATGTGTTTTGAGAGTGACTCATTCCAGCAATCAGGTGTTTCTCATCTCAGTTGTTCATAAAGTTCATCATGCTGTTGTTTAAGCTGCTATAAGCTGTTTGAGTCAGAAAATTTCAATCCTAAAGTTGGCACACCTGTAACTGTCACAGACTTTAAAACTGTGCCTCTAAGTACTATATCCAACTAAAATCTGAATAGAATGTGCTTGGCTACCATGCAACCTCAATGTACTCTGTGATTAAAGCACAACACTCTACACATGCTAAGCATTAGTCCCTTGGGCATCATTCCTGTGGTAATGCACTGCAGCGTGGCACTCAGGATAATTAAGCACTGGAGCAGGTTGTCCAGAGAGGTTGTG